AAAAAAAAAAAAAAAAAAAAAAAAATTTGAAAAGAAAAAAAAAAGTAGGTAAACGAAAGGCAATGGTCATTTGGCTCATATTGTTCTTTATGTTTTAGTTTTCGCATTGTTTTCTTTATCACTTAACTGAATATTATTTCCTTTTTGGTGTTATTTCTGTACAGAATTTACATAAAAATTAGTTACACATTGATCAAAAACTTAAGCTTTATATTTGCTTGCAAAAGAAAAAAAAAGACGTGACAAGTTTCTTGTTGCAAGGAATAACCGGCTATATTTGTGACAAAATTCCAGTTTCGATCCTGTAACAGAAATCAATGTCAGATAATGGGAGAATTGTCCACATAGGGTATGCGGATGGCTAAGTGAATATGTAAATGAATGAATGGATATATGTATGTGTATTTACCAATTATGCCCAAAGTTGTGCGTAGTAACCTAATGTTTCTTGTAATAAACAATGATTATATAGATATCTGACATTTTTTTAGGTGTGTGAGAAGACTGATGTGCTTATTTTATTTATTTTTTTTCTGTAAACAATAGAAATAAGAAGATATTATTTTTTATGAGATGGCTGTTATATTGGAAAAAATTTATAATTTGCTGACACCGGACTAAACACACGTGAACCTATAAAGATCTTTGGTCTTGTCTGAACTGGTCATCGATCAGTTTATCATATTTGCGAGCTCTAATAATTAAAAGATATGTGGTTTTAAGTGGTGTTTTTTCTCCTTTTTTTTTTTTTCAAGTTATCAGTGACAATTTGGCTGTCTAAGTTTTATTCAACTGAACAGTTCACTTTCGTTGTTGTAAACGGTAGATTTGGATAATAGCAGTAGCCGGGTCAAAACGGATAAGTTGCGGGAAATAAAAATTGAAAAAGCATGCAGAAATATACCAATTTTCATTGGCGAAAACTTGTTTTCGGCAAACTGAAAAGTAAAAAGACAATTCCTTTTGCTGTATGAACTAGGAATTAGAATATAGAGCATCGAAATTATTGGAGCCGTTTCAATGGACTAACTATATCGCTTTTGATGTTCTACCTATTGGGTAATCTTTCAAACGGTTTCAAGTTCTGCATTTTTGTTTAGGCCTAAAAATATTTGATTGATTTTTAACGGTTTTTGAATTCAAATTTTGAACACCTAATTCCTTATTGGTCATTTTTCAATCAGCGGCAGATAAATCGTGTTTATAAAGGTATTTGGGCATTGGCTTTTAAGAACGCCTGAATTGCCGATAAATGATTTCTTTAAATGTTTTTTTTTCTTTGCCTTTACTGCAAATTCCTTCTGCATTAACCAAAATTTTTTACCTTACGGTTTCATGTCTGACGATAAGGTTGGTAAAAAATAATAGTAGTCAGTGACTGTTTTTAGACATTGACTCACCATAACAATTATGTGAAAATTCTGGTTGAAGCAAAGGATTTTTTGCAGTATAGTTTACTAATATGAAGAACCTACGTTTCTTTTGTTGTATCCAGCCAAGTTTATTTCAATGTTTGTTGATCTTTCTCTTAGTGTCAACAGCACTCATCTTCTTTCTTTTTCTTTGAAAATTTGTCTACACGTTAATGCTACTTTTTTTTTCGAAAAATGTAATCAGGCGTAATTTCCAAGAACGAGTTAGTTTTATAATCTGCATACAACTTAATTCAAAGGTTTTTGCTTTGTTGGACTTTGGTTCATCGCTTACAGTGATTCATCATTGCTCTGTTTGGATGTTTGGTATTACTGCTGGAACTCGTTGCAATATAAAATTTTTCAGAAACAAGTAGTTCCGTCGACATGGACACCGCTGTCTAATCAAAATAGAAGATTTATCTTTTCTATTCTGTTTTACTTTTACTCTTTAGATTATTTTAAACACAATGATACCTGTGACTATCTCAGTTTATTCGTTTGATCTAGCTACTGCTGAAATTTTCTTATGTTGAACGGGCACTGGTAACAAATTTTCACTGCAAAAATTTTTCCTTTTTGTAGGAAAGAAGGAACGGAGTTGTAGACAGATACTGACAAATAAAAAGGATGGGAAGGCCATCCTGGTTTATCGAGAGCAAAAATCCTGTGCTAAAATTAGTTAAAGCAATGTTTGTTTTC